TGCTTAAACCACACAGAATTGTGGTCCAGCCAAGTTGACACACAGCTCCAGCTATCACACCATCCCTTCATCCTCCCCTGCTCCCTGAGCTGTCTCCCTGTGCATAAAGCCCTTCTTTCTCCCATGATTGTTCTCTCTAAGGGGTGTATTTACCTGAGGTAAATGTTCAACTCCTATTTCTGTCCTTTGTTTGGCTGGAAGCCACAGAGGTATGGGTTCAATTCTAGACCTGAAGGGCAGTTAGGGGCCATAGTCTCAGTGGTTCCACCAGGCTCTATCAGACCAGCAAGGGGCCCATTCTGATAGGACTGGCATTTGCACTTATTTCTTGGTGTTACCTCTTCATAGTGTCATTATTATGTCATAGTAAATTCTTTTTAATTAAGTGAGTCATTTGTCACAAATAAACTACCTGTATATTCCAAACTTGTGTGTTATTGGTAATATCATTTGTATTTTAATGATAATTTTATGAATTCTAAGCCAGCATAAATCATGTTTTTTTTTTTTTTTTAAAACTTTGTTTTAATTGTGGTACATGTGTAGGTAACAAAACTGCCATTTTAACATTTCTTTGACGTGTATAATTGTGACATTAATTACGTTCACCGTGTTGTACAACCATCACCGTGATCCATGTTTAAGTTCTTTCATCCCCCTTAATAGAAGCTCAGTGTCCCCTAAGCAACGACTCTCTCTCCCTCCCTCCCTCCAGCCCCTGGTGACCACTAACAAACTTTAGTCTCTGGGTTCATATAATATCTGTCCTTTTGTAACTGATATATTTCACTAAGTATATACTCAACAGAATTAAAATCAGGAATGCAAACAGGTGTATACACTAATGTTCGTTGCAGCATTCTCCATAATAGCCAAAAGATGGAAACAAGCAAGATGTCCATCAACAGATGATTGGATAATCAAAAGGTAGTACATACCTACAATGGAATATTACTCTGCCATGTAACTCTGCTGTAACACATGGGGTCACCATGAGTCGGAATCTTCTTGACAGCAATGGATTTAGCTTTAAGCTTTTCTTTTTTGGTTTATACATTATACATGCTGCAATATGGAAAAACCATTTAGAAATTCTGTGACTGCACAGTCTTTTCCCTCTTTTTGTTTGTAGTTGTCCTCACTTGCCAATTGCTATCTCTGGTTCCCTGT